CTTTTGAACAAATATCCTTTAGACACAAGTTGAAATTGTGTTTTTCTATTAGAGTAAGAAGAGAAACTAATTCAGATTCATGAGAAATTATTGAAATTAGCAAGATAGAATTTGAGTATTTAAATTACCTGTGAGGCTATTATTACTCAAGATTTATAAGGTATAATTAAATAGAAGTATTTGGGTCATGAAAGTTCTTTAAACTATGAAACTTCTAATTGCATATTGCCACTCTTTAATAAAGCTTAACAAAGAGTCAATTTTACCTGAAAATGCTGAATAATTCACTTATAACTTTTAAACAGCATTACCATAACATTTCAAAGGAGTCAGCCAACTGTGTGTTTGATAATCTCCTGTATTCAAGTTCATTGCAGGCTCATCTAATGGTTTGGTTAGCTCTTTGGGAACTATTCAGGTCTGACTGAAGCAATTTATGTGTGAAACTTATTCCATCCAAGCAGACTTACAAGTAGCTGGGAAAGGGATGAAGCTGGTTTCCAGCTTCCTCTGGGGGTCTTTGTTTTTCATTCCTTTCTGTCCTGGATCCAACCCTCTCCCTCCTCTGCCCCATCGGTGCCTGCCTTTTCCTCCCTCCACCTCTCTATGGTATCAAACCTTAACAAAGAATCAAATAGACTGGCTGTGGGGGATGGGGAGGGAGCCCTGTCCTCAATCATTAAGCCAAATGTTATTTTTATAACATTTATGATGATTCCAGTAGATGTGGATGTCTGATCGCAATGACTGATGTGTGAGGCACACAGTCTGTCCTGCCTGGGTCATTCCTGATTTTGAACACAGAGTGGCCGGTTCTCCTTTGAGGAAGCTTCACCTTTTAGACATGATCTCTAGGAAGTTGTGTTCTCAAAATCTCAAAGATTTTTCAGCTAACTCCGTGGTTTTCTCAATGTCTCAGGGTTAAAGAAATTCCTTGCTCTAGGTGGGTGCGAGCATCAGCCTTACATTCCTTAGCCAGCCTCGTCTTCACGTACCCAAATGCAAGTTTAAGTTTCCAACTCCCTTTGTGGCCCTCTTGTCTGCTTGGGCTCCACAGACCAGGGCAGCTTAAACAACAGATATTTATTTTCTCACATTTCTGGATCCCCAAAACCCCAAATCTAGATGCCATTGGGATTATTTTCTGGTGAGGCCTCTCTTCCTTGCTTATATCTTTTTTTTTGACAGTCTCACTCTGTCACCCTCAGTAGAGTGCTGTGGCATCATCTCAGCTCACAGTAACCTCACACTCCTAGGTTCCGGTGATCCTCTCGACTCAGCTTCTTAGACTGCTACGATTACAGGCAATTACTCTGCCTGGCCCCTGGCGTGTTTCTTCACATAGTCTTTCCTCTGTGTGCCACTCCTGCTGACCCTCCCTCTATCTATAAGGACACCAGTTTTACTGGATTAGGGCCTCACTTTCGGACCTCCATAATCCCCATGTGTAAATGCAGTCAATTGAGGGTTAGGGCTTTGCAAAGGAACATAAGGGAGGAGGGTTCAAACCTGGCCCAGACCTAATAAACAGCAATGACAATTACAGCAAAAAAATAGCTGAGTGTTATGGCGGGTGGCGGGTTCCTGGAGTCCCAGCTACTTGGGAGGCTGAGGCATGAGAATCACTTAAGCACAAGGGTTTGAGGTTGCTGTAAGCTGTGATGCCACAGCACTCTACCAAGGGTGACATAGCGAGACTCTGTCACAAAACAAAACAAACAAACAAAAAACAAAAAAACCCCAAGCAACAGTTTGTTACTGTGTGCTGTACCCACCACACTGGGAGCATTTCCCTCTCAAGGAAGTGGCTTAGGAGCCTTGCTGAGCTAGTATTTTTACAAAGAGTCATAAATCCTGTATGGTGACAAGATAAAGGAGAGCTCAGTTCCAGTCTTTTGAAAGGTGGAAAAATGTGGAATATGTGCCTACAGTTAGCGGGTGATGTCTCCCGCAAGGAAGGACTTACGTCCTGCCTCAGGCAAGTACGGGCAGAGGCAGAGTCCTCACCGCATTTCAGTGTCTTTAATTCAACAACTTTAGTATTTGAGGAAGAAAAATTTTGGTTTCCTTCACAGGGCAGGAGATGGAACTGTGTAACCCAAGGTCATTTGTGGGACCAGAGGCCTTGATGGGGAGATTCAGGGGAAGAGCAGAGGGTGTGTGTGTGTGGGGAGCAGACACATGTCCGACAAGAGCTCTGCCACACCAACCCCTGTCCCCTGGCGCTGTGGGACTGAATGTCCCCACTCCGCAGCTGGGCCACCTGCTCTCTGCTCAGCAGGCTTTGTGATGTGTGCCGCTCTTCTGAATATATACTGAGGACAAGAGCCGCGGAATCGTGTGGTGATGCTGTGTTTAAATAAAGTTTACTTTTTTTTTTTTTTTTTT